CAAGTCATTCCAATAAAGCTTCTCGTGTAGAGGATTCTTCCTTTTCTTTCGCCTTGATGGAGGAACCCTATCACAGTTGAGGCCGGTGACTATGGCAAACTCTCTAAGAGAGATCCTTATTGGGTATCCAGCAAAAACAAGCCAAATCTCGTAGAGCTTGCGGGTCTTCAACATACGAACACAGACGAAGTGACAGAACGCGCCGGAAAATGGAGGATTATCATCAAGAGAGAGGACCTTCGAGAATTGAGTTCGGTGGAAAAATGCTAACTCGTCCTCGTCTAATGCTTCAATTAGTTGCTCTGTTCTTCGATACTTGTGGTACGAGACAACTCTGTCGCCTACTGGTTCATCACCACAAGCAAAATATCGTCTAGGAAGGCTGAGATTGGACATCGGAGGTTTTGGAAGAAGAAAGTCGGAAGTTTTTCAGTTCGAAACCGAAGATTGAAAGTAGTGGGAAGATGGGAAGTTGAATTGCAGAGGGAGGTTACTATTCAGAGTAGTGGGATAAATTTTTGCAGTTACCGTAATTAATGAATAATTTCAAATTTCAAAATATAAAGCATGCAAAAGATTTTACTGGAAAACAAAAAGGTTGACGGGAAATAAAACAAGCGTGGGAGGCGCTCTGACACAGCTACCCGTAGGCGCGTGAGCCTAAGAGAGTAGTATATCGAAACACGGAAGGGTAAAATGGTCCGACTAAAAGAAACTGTCATATCAGGGTTAGTTCACTAATTGAAGGTGAGAACTAGGGTACTTTCGCAAATTAACTCTATTTATTATGCTCATATCACACATTCTAGAAGACCCAAGTAACACGCTCATAGTCGTCCATTTTAAAGGTAGGATTTTATAGTCACAAAGAGATACTACACCCCACCGCCACGACCACCTCGTCCACCTCGACGAGCCTGACCGCCTCTATGTTCCCTATCACTCCCGTGACCTCTACGACTGCTGTCACCACCGCCACCTCCAGGGCTGCTGTCTCCGCCACCACCTCCACGTTCTTTTTCTCCGCCACCTCTTTGGAGTGTGCAGACGAATCCACCGCCATATTTGGATTCATCCTCGTCTAGACCACTACAATTTTTTTGTACTCTGTAAAATAGAATAAATATATTATTGTGTTGTCTTTGATATGAAAATAGAAAATATATATATATATAATAGTAACATTAAAATAATATTAATACTAGATAATGTTAATTTTTTAAATATTTAATATAAATATGCTAAGTTTTGAATTTAATTTATTTTTCAAGTCTTTCTTTTTACTCTTGACGATTTTCATGGATCTTTGTAAGCCAATTAGTCAGATTATCTTTTATCTTGAAGAAAAAACACAAAAACCTTTTGAAAAGTTCATCTCTTTGAATCATTTTTATTGTTCTGTTCTTCTGTTCTTTTGATCCTGTTGATTTCATTATATTATCTACTTATTTTTACATGATTAAGCTTAAATCCAATATGGATTTGAGAGGAATCATGAAGATTAGTGAGTAATCCACCTTTGAATTCATGGGTTAGGGAAACTAAGGGTGATTAGGCTAGATCTAGGATGTTTAGTGTAGATTTCTGAAGTTAGGAGTTTCAAGGCTCCTAAGACAAATGTTGTAGTATAAATGATTGTTGAACCAAATCTAAGGCATTTCAAAGCACTAAGAATGCAAGTACTCACTTAATCTAAGTGCAATCCAATAATCAGATGGTTTTAAACTATGACTAATACTAGAGTGCAATAACAGAATAAGAAAAGCGATAATTAAAATGACTTCTTTTGATTAAGAGAAAGGAGAACTCATGAGAATAGGGATCATACCTTGGGTGATCAAACTTCGAACTAAGGATGGCAAATGATCAATTAACTATCAATGTTAAGTCTAGACACATCTCTAAGCAAGTTCCATGTATAGATGAACGCTCATTTACTAACATAACTAAAACATAAAATATCTTCGGTTGAATGTTACAGTAGTAATCTTTAAGAATAAGTCTATTATCCATCTTAACACCTTTAACAAAAAATGTCTTTAGTAAAGTATGTTAAAAGCTTAGGAGAGTTGGCTCATGCATTTCATTGAACACCTTGTAGGTGGGAAATGCCTAAAATTCAACCCTTGATTGGCAACTCAAAAGATGCATTATGAATACTTTACTAGCAAGGAATAAGAAAAATCTACACTAAACATCCCAGTTCTAGCCTAATCACCCTTAATCTCCTTATCCCATTAAATCAAAGATGGATTACTCAATAATCTTCATGATTCCTCTCATACCCATATTGGATTCAAGCTTAATCATGTTAAGATAAGTAGATAATGAAATCAAATAAAATATGATCACAAGAACAATGAAGAATGATTTAAAGAAATGAACTTTCCAAGAGGTTTTTGTGTTTTCTCTTCAAAATGAAAGATAATCTGTCTAGTAGGCTTACATAAGTACTTAACTTAGGTTTAGAAAATCTAAAAACCATAAAACAAATGACCAAAAAGTCTCTGAAACAAATTAATCTTCGTCCAAACAAAGACGTGCAGCGACCTGGCCTCGTCGCTCCGGGAGGTCGCTCTGGCTGAGAGCGACCTATGGTCAACACTCCAAGACATTGCTCCAAGGGTCATTTCGGGTGCTCGCGATTTGTCAAAATGCGAGTGACCTAGGCGTGTCGCTGTGGGGACGTCGCTCTGAAGGTGGGAGCGACCTTGGTAAATCGCTTTGGCAGGTCTCTCTAGGCCCCTTTTTCGTGCAACCAAGTGACAAAGGCCAAGCGACCTAGGCGCCTCGCTCTAGAGGTCGATCTGGCTTGGGAGCGATGTCATGGGGTCCCTCTGGCACGTCGCTCCAGCCCTACTCATCCAATGATCACTTTTAACTTCTCTTTTGAGCCTCAAATGCATCCAATCACCTCCAAGAACTCAAAGGGTACTCCAGTACCTGATAAGGACTCATGTATGCAAAATGCAACCTAGAAATGACTAAATCTTAATCTATATGATCAAAATGCATATGGATGAATGGATAAAACAATGGAAATATACAAGATATCAACTTCCCCAAACTTGTTCTTTACTTTTCCTCAAGTGAACTTTCTAGAACTCATAGGAAGAGAGGTTTGAATGTGGGAGCTCATAACCAAAAGAAAAACATCTAAGAACTCAACTTGACATCCTAAAGAGACATAAAAAATAGCATGAGCACACTCTCTTATTATACTCTAGCTTCTCTAGGCCTATTAACACTCTTATGCCTTTAAGCAAAGTGCAAAACTCTTCAATTAACAAGCTATTTTAACCAACTCTCACATTAGTTCACACACACACACACACACACATGTGGGAACCGAAATTCACACTTGTTGATTTCCGTTAAATAAGGAAACTTAGGAAAACCCTAATTTTCCAGAGGAACCGGATCTCTGCGAAAGCCAACGACAAGTAACCAAATAAATGCGGAAAAATATGAAAAACATAGTAAAACGAATTTATAAAAAAAGTCGATCTTATTTCCGATTCGCGTAAGAGCGTTGCGATCATTACAGGGAATTAAAAAGGCTTTGGCCGCAGGGGCCATCAGCGAGTTACAAACATAAAACCCTAGATCTAGTCGAGTCGCAGCTCGATGACGAAAAACGGAAAAAGATAGGAAAAAAGGTTTGAATGATTTCGGACTGAACCTTATGAAAGGCTGCCTACGTACCCCTTTCGGGGATCAAGTCGAACGTAGTTCAGGTAGTAGAGCTGGACCAGAGATCGAACTGCCTGGGCGAGTTCGTCTAGTAATTGAGCGCCAGTCATAGAAACCGAACTTGTCGAGAAAAAGCCTAAGTTTCTAAGTGCAGAAAATTCTAAGTCTAGAAAAGTTGTGAAAGTATCAGATGAGAACTCTGGATTTCGTCCCTCTCTTCTGCCCTACGCCTCTGGTTTATATACTCCTTGCCTTGACGGTTCGATCTTTCCATTTTTCCGGATTTGAGTATTTCGGGAATCTTCCATTTTTCTCGATCCTTCCTTTTCTTCCGCGGAAATCTTCTATTTATCTTCAAACTTGCCTTCATTTTCCTTCTGCGAATAAACCGTCAAAACATTATCAAATCTTCGGGTTGGATTCCACTGAAATCACGAGATGGGTTTTTATCGCGTTTTAGGTCCTTCCGGGCCATTTTGCGATAAAAACCGTTTTCCGACTTTTTACGGGACCGTTTCCTGATCTGACGTCGTTTTTAATAAATTACTCAAGTTAATCGCAAGGTTTTACGATTTACTCGACTTTTTATTAAAACACGTTTTTTACGACTTACTCGGCGTTTTTTATTAAAAAACGCGTTTTTATGATTTTAACGAGAAATCTCGAATAAATCGTATAGTTTAGGCCATGATCGGTGTTTCGTTTAACCGTTGCCGTTTTATACGATTTCCTCGAGTTCTTTCCGAGAAAGCGAAGTCTTACGGTTTTTATCGTAAAACTCGAACGGTAAGTCGGATCGAGATGGAACGGGAGATGTTTTAGCCGTGGTTTAGAATGCGATCGTGTCGAAAGACGTAAGTTTTGAATCGGGTATGTGGGAGATCGAGGCGCGGGATATCCGAGAAGTCTTTAGTTCGCCCATCGGTGAACTAAGCCGGGCCGGCTTAGTTCGCCGATGGGCGAACTAGTTGAGTGATTCCTAGTTCGCCCATCGGCGAACTAAGACGGGCCGGCTTAGTTCGCCGATGGGCGAACTATTGGAGTGTCCCTAGTTCGCCCATCGGCGAACTAAGCCAGGCCGGCTTAGTTCGCCCATGGGCGAACTAGTCGTGACAAGTTCGCGTTTTACGGCTATTTCGGTTTTTTTGCGGTTTCGTAAAACGATTCTTCGAGTTTTATAAAACGTTTCTTCGAGTTTTATAAATTGATTCTCGAGTTTTATAAAACGATTCTTCGAGTTTTATAAAACGATTCTTCGAGTTTTATAAAACGATTCTCGAGTTTTATAAAACGATTCTCGAGTTTTATAAAGCGATTCTCGAGTTTTATAAAACGATTCTCGAGTTTTATAAAACGATTCTCGAGTTTTATAAAACGATTCTCGAGTTTTATAAAACGATCCTCGAGTTTTATAAAACGATTCTCGAGTTTTATAAAACGATTCTCGAGTTTTATAAAACGATTCTCGAGTTTTATAAAACGTTCCTCGAGTTTTATAAAACGATTCTCGAGTTTTATAAAACGATCCTCGAGTTTTATAAAATGATTCTCGAGTTTTATAAAATGATTCTCGAGTTTTATAAAACGATTCTTCGAGTTTTATAAAACGATTCTCGAGTTTTATAAAACGATTCTTCGAGTTTTATAAAACGATTCTTCTAGTTTTATAAAACGATTTTCGAGTTTTATAAAACGATTCTCGAGTTTTATAAAACGATTCTCGAGTTTTATAAAACGACCTCTGAGTTTTATAAAATCACTTTTGCGGAAAGTAATGATCCCCCTTTTACAGAAGTTATCGCAGACGTTGATTTCGAGAGTACGGTTTTCGACACCAACAATCCTCGAGTTTTATAAAACAATTCTTCGGGTTTTACAAAACGATTCCTTTTATATTTCTGCGGGGAGTTTCGGCCATTGATTCCGTCGTACCGATTTTGACCCCAACAGTTAGCCCCCCAGCTCGTAAGAATCCTGAGCCTTTAGCGTAAGTTTCTTGCGAGTGGTTAACCAATTTTAGTTAAGTTAGGCGGAATTAATGGTCGGAAAGGTCCGTTGAAAGTGATCTTTCCACTTTCCAGGGAGCGGAAAGCGTTTAAGATTAGGGCTGCGCCTTGTGAAGGCTGCCTACGTACCCTTTCGAGGGGATCAAGCCTTTCGTAGTTCATTTCGGAGTTAAGGTTCGTATGACCTGTTTCCCAGGAAGACCTTTACGGTCTAGTTATATGTTGTGTAGGAATTATCGAGCATATTGATGTCGATGGCATCGGGACCTTTGGCGGCCTTGAGACTAGCCTCCTAGGCCGTTTGGTCTGGCCGAGCGTGGCCGTTATAGTTTTTGGACTGGCCGTGTGCGGCTCTGAGTCCCTGCCGCTTTTGCGG